TGGTCCGGAGTGGCGGCAAAGGTGTGAGAGGCGGGTCCTGCAAAATAGGCAGCACAGAAGGATACACGACAGACTCGTGCTCCTGGTGAGATACAGCATGCAAAGGTAACGAAGCAGGTATAGTGTTAGCAACAGAAAATGTTATTCGCTCCTCGCCATCCCTCAGAACTAAGGTCCCATCATGCACATCTATGAGAGCCTTGGCGGTGGCCAGGAAAGGCCTTCCCAGTATAAGAGGCACTTCTGTGTCCTCACTGATGTCCAGGATAACAAAATCCACAGGGTACGTGAATTTGCCAACCTTGACCAGAAGGTCTTCCACTATACCCCTAGGATGCACTACCGATCTGCCCGCTAATTGAAGGGTCATCCTAGTAGCACGGGGTTCACCTAGGCCTAGTTTCATGAATAATTTATATGGAATAACATTGATACTAGCACCTAAATCCGCCAAGGACTTCTCTACATGCAATTTATCAATAGAGCACGGGATAGTGAAACTACCTGGGTCCTTTTTCTTCTGCGGAAGCTTGTTCTGCAGAATAGCCGAGCACTCCTCGCTGAGCTCCACAGTGGCCAGCTCACTCAGCTTCTGCTTCTTTGAGAGAAGCTCTTTCAGAAACCTCGCATACTTTGGCATTTGCGATAGTGCCTCCAGGAAGGGCACTTGGACATTCAGCTTCTTGAGCATGGCCATGAAGTTCTCGAACTCGGTCTCCAGCCTGTCTTTGTGCAACCGAGTAGGGAAAGGGAGTTTAGGGACATACTCCTTCACTACTGGTTGCGGTTTAGGTGCAGGCACCTCAACCTCCTTCTCTACTTCCTGTTCAACCGCTGGAGATGCTGCAACAGGGCTTTCTCTCTCCGGTTCCCGAGCAGGGGGATCAACAGTCATCTTGCCACTCCTGGTCATGATGGCATTGCAGCGCTCATTCGGGGTCGGCGGGTGAGGAATGGTCTGCGCTGGTAGAGTACCAGGAGCCCTTTGAGCCACTGCTTGGGCCACGCTCCCCAGCTGGGTCTGGATATCCTGCAAAACAGCCTGTGTATTCCTCTGACCAGCTTCCAGAGCCAGGAGTTGACCCGAGGCCTTCTCCATGAACTGCTCAAAGGTGTTGAATTTCTGAGCACTAACACTGGCGAGAGAACCCACCAAGTCCCGCAGTTCAGCCATCTGATCATTCTGCGCTGGGGCAGCAGGGGCTGCACCTGGCTGCTGGAATTGCCCCTGTCTGGGCTGATATGGTGGCCTCTGGAAGCCCGGTGGTCCCTGTGGAGCTGGTGGTCTGGGATTTGGCCCAGCCCAGGAGAAGTTAGGATGCTGGCGCCACCCCTCATTGTACGTGTTGCTGTAGGGGTCATTGCGCCTGACATTGTTGATGAAGTTCACCTGCTCCTGGGGTGTGGTCGATTCCTTCATCGCCTGGCAGTCTTCCACCATATGATGGGTGCTCTCGCACCACTGGCAGAGCATCGCCTGCTGCTGTCCGGTCCCTGGAATCATCCCGGAACGATCGATAGTTGAGACCAGCTTCGATACTACCTGCACCAAATCAGATGACTGGGTGCCCACAGCATGCACACCCCGGCCTGGTGCTCTCCTCGATCTCCTGGTAGTGCCCCAATCATAACCATTCTCCGCCATCTCTTCAAAGAGTTGATTCAGCTGTGGCGGGGTTTTGGTCAGCATGTTCCCGCCACAAACCGAATCGATCAGCTGCTTGTCCTCCGGGAAGAGGGCGTGATAGAAGGTGCCCACCTTGAACGCATCGTTGAAACCATGATTGGGACACCTGAGGAAAAGGCTGTTGTACCTCTCCCATGCATCCCTGATGGTCTCATCCTCATCCTGAGCAAAATGTGTAATTTGCTTCTGCAGGTCAGCTGTCTTGGATGGAGGATGGTAGCGGGTGAGGAACTTGTCCGCCAGGTTGGCGAACGTGGTGATGGAGCCCGGAGGTCGAGTGTCTAGCCACTCCTTGGCTTGCCCCTCCAGAGTGAATGGGAAGTACCTCAGCTGGATGGCATCTGCTGGTACCCCATTGATCTTGATTCCATCAATGAGCTCGTGGAATCGCCTGAGATGTGATCGAGGGCACTCTCCCTCCTTACCACGGAACACTACTGAACCGCGCAGCATGGTGATCACGGAGGTGCTCACCTCAAAGTTGTTGGCTGGGACCTGAGGGTGTTGAATGGGGGACCTCATGTCCGCAGCCCTAGCGGTCCAGTAGGATCCCATGGTCTGCTCCCCGGGGATCACATTGTTGTTCTGCGGATCACCCATCTCTCCTTCTTCTTCTTCTACGATCTGTAGCTGTGACAGCGCCTTCTCCGCAGCCAGTCCCGCCTTTAGAACCCGCTTGGAGTTCCTGCAGGTTCGTTCAAGTCGCGCCTTCTCCGCAGCCAGTCGCGCCTTCTCCGCAGCCAGTCGCGCCTTTAGAACCCAAGTCATTACAATCAAATCCCTAACACAAGGAACTAGGGTTCTTCATACCCAAGTGAGAGAAGGGTTCTACTCCATACAGAGAGAAGAGAAAACAAGAATCGGATTAGTCATACTCATAACGATGAGGATAATCTGCTCCGGGACGATGATTTTCACTCCTATGACGATCTCCAAGCTCGATTCGATGAAATCCAGCTCTAAGACAGCTTCTAGGATGTGTTCTTCGCACTTTCTCTCTCTAGGGCTCTGTTTTTGCTCTCAAAACGCGATTCTCCCACTTCTAGCTCGGATTAGGCTTTAAAACCGAGTTTTCCCCGAGTTGCACGGCCGTGCACATCACCATTCTGGCCGTGCACCCTGAAACGCGCAATTTCACTTAATTCTGCCTTCGTCCATCTTGCACGGCCAGGCGCACGGCCGTGCAAGCTTCAGGGTCTGGCCGTGCATGGCCTCGGCATGAGGTGCACGGCCATATGGCTCAAGTGCACGACCGTGCAGCCTCCCTGGTCTGCCCGTGCACTCCCCAAACAGCTCGCCATTCGTCCGTTCTTCGTCCAATCGACCCCAGACTCGCTCCTAAGCCTTCATTCACGTACTAGGACCTGAAATATCACAAACAAGCACAACCTAGCGTGAAATCGGCCTAAAACACGAGAATCAACACCTCAAACGGTGTAAGTATGAGGGTAAAAACATGTGTAAATGACGGTCTATCACTGACGTAAATTTAAAGATAAAGTTAATTGGTTAGTTGGACTCGAACCTTATCGGTTGCCTACGTACCCGTTAGACGGGATCAAAGTCCACGTAGTTCGTTTGGACTTTAATAATTTAATTAAAATCGTTACCACGTTCCACTGTACGTAATTTTTCGTACTAAAGTTTTTGTTGATAAAATTTGCATCGATTATTATAAGGTCATGACGCAGAAATAAAATGATTTTAGTTAGCGAGAAAAGATATGGCGTATTAGAAAAGAAGCAAGAGAAACTTAATCCACATTAGCATTTCGTATTAAGAATATTTAAAAGAATAAAATTGACTGAGATGATTATATAAATAAATGAGGGACTAGCAGCCCAACTGGCTAAGGCGTCAGTTGTATTTCGCTTTCGTGTATGAGTACGCGGGTTCGAAACTTGGTCTCATTAATTTTTTGGATTTCGTTATTACTTCAGAGAAAGGGGAAGGGTAGTGTCGTAAATACACAAAAATACGGTGGCAAGGGTACGTAATTTTTAGGAAAAACCTAGGGGTAAAATCGTCGTTTTAAACATAATGGTATATAAACATCTAAATGAAACCCTAATCCATTCTAAACAGAGGCGGCCGCCTCCACTCTCCCTCTCTCTCTCTCGTCCCTCTCATCTCTCACTCTCGCCTCTGGAAATCACAAAACCCTAGCCGATCTAACCAACCGCCCCTCTCTCACCCTCGTCTCTCTCTCTTCTCGGTCGATTTTCATCTTCCAGAAGAAGACCAAGAAACCCTAGATCAAACAAGCCGCCCTCTCTCTCGTCTCTCCTCTTCTAAAAAAACGAAAACCTAGCCCCCAGCGCCGCCCTTTCCTTCTTCCTCTACTTTTCCCCCGTTCTTCCTCTCTCTCGAAGGACGAGAGGTCTGAAAAAAGACGGTGCTATCGCAGTCCTTCCCGGATTTGGCTAAACGACGACTCGGTTCAAGTTAATCTGACCCGGGGAACTCCGATTCGGGTAAAAACGGCGACATGCACAACATTTGATTTCTGTTTTAGGTAATTTTTCTTAGATTCGACTAATTTTTCTTTCGTTTTCTCTTTGGCTCTGAGGCTTGGTTTCGGACGAGGGAAAAGAAGCAGTGAGGAGATCGCCAGACCGAGGTACGATTTAACGGTAGGCTCGGATCTGGTTTCGTTTTTGGTTTATCGGTTGTATTTTTGGATTTCTGGGTTCTAATATGTTTTTTTTTTTGGGTTGGGTGGAGGAGAAGAAGGGAATCTTTGGCGGCTAAGATCCCTGTCGGCAAAATTCCGCCGACGATGAGTTGACAACGGCGGCAGCAGGTGAGGATTGCTTCGATTAAATTTCTTTATTTTCTTGACTGGTATTGGCTTTAATCGAGTATGGTCTCTGCGCAGGTTTTGAATTTGACAAGTTTGGGTTAGGTTTCTAAACTCAGTCTAGTGTGATTTGGCAACTTGAACAAAAAAAGGTTATCATTGGGGTTTTGGAATCTGATTGCATATCTGGGTTTTCAATAAAAATGGTTATGTATGAGTTCGATAATTTTGGTGTTTGGTGATCTCGAAATTTTTATGCTTAGTTGCTTGGTGGATGGTTTTGGGATGCTAGATTTTTCTACAAATGAGAGAAGAAGAAAAAGGGAATTTTCAATAACTGGGAAGTAATTAACATGCTCTAAAATTGATAATTTTGGCAACTAAAAGTCACTGCCTCTGCTTGTGACTTTGCCAACATGAAGTTTGAAATATGAAGTTTAATTGTGTTTGGGTGATTTCTGCTGGATCTGGATCTAGATCTAGATCGGGGGTGATCGTAATCCTAGGGAAGAGTTGTTTTTCTTCTTTCTATAGACCTTTGTCTATTTGAACTCTACTCGAATATTTTCATTCATTTACACATGATAATAAAGTATTCATCAACTATTTGCTAGATAGGAAATTTACAACGTGACATGCCAGAGTTGAGTTGCTAAGCGCAAATCTTGTATTAAGTAAATAAATAGAGTGCTTAAATGTAAAATAGTTTGCAAAGTATGACCATCGAGTATATAAATGGGCAAGTAGATAGACGATTACGACCGTACAATGATTGAGCATGAATTTGAGCATGAATTTGACGAAAACAAAAATGAGATCAGATCTTATTAAAAGGATGAAAGAGTTAGAGCACTAACCTGGTTGGAGTTTCTTAGCTTAAGAAAGGCCTTCTGCTGCTTAATTCCACAAATTTCTGCGTCAATCTTGTGTAAAAGACGGATGTAAAGAAAAAATGAGCTCAAACTGCTTGTTTACTTCTGTAATGTAGTTTTCTTTCTTTCCACTCCCCTCGTCCCCCAAAATCAAGAGCTGAAGAGATCTACTTATTGCTAAATCGTGTGCCACGTGTTGCTTCGCCGTTAGTCTTTGTTAGGACTTGAAATGCGTGTTTCTTCCTGATAGGTCGAATTTTGAGGCTGCCCCAATAGCCTCCACCTTGCATGGTCGGTTCTGACTGATCAGGGCCTGTTCAGGATAGGCTGGCACACAATTCGATGTTGGTTGGGCTGACGGATAAGGTTGGGCCGACTCAGGTTTGCAGACTTGTGGGCTGATGAGGAAATCACCTGGGTTCAGAAGGGGCCGAGCTGGGTTGGATGTTTGTTGGGCCGAGCTCTGGGCTTTAGTTTGAATCTGGAAACTAGCCCTTGTGCTTCAACTAACTGCTACCTTTGTTTTTGCAGATCCAAGTCGAAAAGTCTTTGAAGCATTGGGCTGGGCTTCCTTGATAGGCTAAATTTCAAAATTCTTGTATACCAAAGTATGGTAAATGTGTAATGATGTTTAATGATTGTACCAAATTTCTAATTTTTGAATCATACACTTTGGGATAGTTTCCTTTCGAATTCAATCCCCATTATCGAACTCAAATGCTCTCACACGAAATTGAAACGAAAGATCGGACTATCACTCTTGAATAGCAAAACTCACTCTTGAATAGCAAAACTCTCTTCTGTTGTGTAAATTCAAGTCACAAGTTTTTTTTCGTTTTATATCCGGACAAAATGTGATGTCTACTGTTGCCCCCCTTTTGTATATCTCTTTGTATAAAGAGTTATACAAAGTTTCTATAAAGACACCACATCTCAGAAGTAGAAATTGAGCTGATGCTTGGTAATAATGACGTATCCATATTGTTATGATGATGGTAATCAAATTGTATAAGAAAATGGCATGCGATGAAATCAAACTGGTCATTCGGTAACAACTAACAACGATATATTCAAGTTGTTCGTGATAGGAAAAAATTGAACGATTTTGGAACATGTTAGCGATGAAATCAAGCTAATCAATTTGTGTAAATCAGGTCGCATGAGATAGAAATTTAGACGAACATCGGAATAAGTGTTAGCGATAAGATCAAGCTAACCGTGTTGTAACAACGATGTACTCATATTTTTTTTGTGTAAACAGATATTGTACTCAAATTGTCTATGATAGAAATCAAATAGAACAATGAGGCAGATGTTAGCGATAAAGATCAAGCTAATAATTTTGTAAATGATGATGTACTTAAATTGTTTGTGATAGAAATCAAACGAAACAATTGAGAAAATGTTAGTGATAGAGATCAAACTAACAATCTTGTAAAGGATATTGTACTCAAATTGTATATGAAAGAAATAAAATAGAACAATGAGAAAATGTTAGTGATAAAGATCAAACTAACAATTTTGTAAATGATATTGTACTCAAATTGTTTGTGATAGAAATCAAACAGAACAATTCAGAAAATGTTAGTGATAGAGATCAAACTAACAATCTTGTAAAGGATATTGTACTCAAATTGTCTATGATAGAAATCAAATAGAACAATTAGAAAATGTTAGTGATAAAGATCAAACTAACAATTTTGTAAATGATATTGTACTCAGAATTATTTGTGATAGAAATCAAACAGAACAATGAGAAAATGTTAGTGATAAAGATCAAACTAACAACTTTGTAAATGATATTGTACTCAAATTGTTTGTGATAGAAATCAAACACAACAATGAGGAAGATGTTAGCGATAAAGATCAAACTAACAATTTTGTAAATGATATTGTACTCAAATTGTTTGTGATAGAAATCAAACAGAACAATGAGAAAATGTTAGTGATAAAGATCAAACTAACAATTTTGTAAATGATATTGTACTCAAATTGTTTGTGATAGAAATCAAACGAAACAATTGAGAAAATGTTAGTGATAGAGATCAAACTAACTATTTTGTAAAGGATATTGTACTCAAATTGTTTGTGATAGAAATCAAACAGAACAATGAGAAAATGTTAGTGATAAAGATCAAACTAACAATTTTGTAAATGATATTGTACTCAAATTGTCTATGATAGAAATCAAATAGAACAATGAGAAAATGTCAGTGCGTAGTGGTATTTCGCACGAAAAGTTTCCACGTGTTTTTATACGAATATATTTTAGAAATTTGGAAAATGTTTGTGATGCATAGCGAGTCACTTTGATGATTAATGATGTTATGCAGTGAGTTTCGAAATGATTTTGACAATGATTGTGTAATGTGTCATGCAAATGATATCGTGAATGTTAAGTAAAAAAAAGATGGTATGATGCATTAGACAATTGGTATGCAAATATGTTGTTTTGTTTGGTTTTTTTTTTTTTTTTTGCGTTTTAACCGGAGGTTCCTTTAAATTGCTCATCCTCCAGGAATCGTCATTTCCTTTTGATCGACTTGATCCTTAGGTCATGTTTATGTTGGAGTGACTTTCAGCTTGCTCGCTTGAAACTTATCTTCGTGGTGGTAGTTGTACGAGGGTATACTTTGTGGGGTGAGCAGGTGATGTATATTGCTTCATTCTTCTTGTCGGCCAGGCTTGGGCCCACATGTTTTACATTTGTACATCTCTTGGTATGCGCGGTATGTTGGTTCCTCCTCCTTCGGGCCATGAAGTTGAAGGATAGTAGGTTTGCTGGTTGGTTTAATGAGATTGAATGCTCTCTAACTCCTTGGGATTTCTTCATCAACTCATGAGTGAAAAGTTGATTTCTGATTCTTGGGTACTCGGACTTCCCCATATTCCATGGTGTACTAGTTTTGCCCCTGAAGATCCGTTGCTCACTTTCTATTCTCCGGAACAAAGAGTGACTATATCAATCTTGACTTAAGACGAATGCAAAAATGTTTGAAAATGTTTATTAGAGAATTAAAATTGAAAGCCATGTCAAGACTTTGGTTTCGAGAAGTGTGTGCAAACTGGAGAAAACCGTTTTTGTGTGGTAGTCGTCATATTGCCAAATTTGGTTTTCTAAGAGAAAGGTAAGCCAAGCCATGAGAATATCAGCAAGCCCTCGCTCTCACTCTTGCTTTCGATTTTGATCTCTCTCACTCCCGCTTTGGATTTCGCTCAACACTCATTCCTATAGGTGATTTGAGTGTACGACACTTCAGCTACCATTAAGATGCTGGTCGCCTTGAGACGTCGCCTATATGTTGTGACCAACTGTGTTCCTTGTGAAGATTTACTCAAATATGGAAGCCCTTAGTATGATTGATTTAGGAGGCCTCCATATGGCTTCGTCGCAGACATTTTTAGTCTCCCATGAAAGAGGCTTTTGTCCGATATGACCTCGAGGATACGAGTCTCCTTGTTCTTGAGGTGTAGTTTATTCAGATGGGTGGCGAGTATATGAAATCTTAATATTATTCGTATAAAGCTTCTTGTAGAGGGATTTTGGCTTTTTCCCCCAGAGTATGTGATTGACTCGATGGGTTAACAACCACTATTATCCGGATCCTTTTGCTGACAAAGTCTTGTTCGAAAATACTGGCTGTTTCTTTTTGGGAATGTATCTTCAGCTGGGTTTGCGCCCCCAGTATTTATCACTATCCAAGGTTGTGATTTTCAGGAGTGCAATCTGGCTTGGGACTTGTCGAGATCTTTGTTTGGCCTCTAAATGTTGAATGGTGTGGATTTTCAGCATCTGGCTTTTTCTCAAAATGATGAGTACTTTGGATGATGCGGTTTTAGCTATAACGACTTTCTTATCAAGAAAGTTTCTTGCTTGAAGGTCCTCATTGCCGTATCTTGAGGTTGATCGCCAAAGATCTTGGCTTGGTACAGATAGTTGGTACTTCAAATGCTAAATCAGGGGTATCGAGATTGTAAGTCCCACGACATTTTGTTTGTTTTTCTTTTGTCTTTTTTTTCTTTTTTCTTTTTTTGTTTTTGTTTTTGTTTTTTTGCGTGTGGGACTTACTTGACTCTGTCATGCCCCCATATATGTTTCACATTTTACCTGATCTAGCACTTGTATTTGGTAGGACGACTATCGAAAGGTAGAGAGTCTTCTTGATGATCGATGATGTGAGTGCCACTTCTCAATAACTAGATTATATTGGCTATTCTTTTTGGTAAAAGTGGGGATGTTGACGCCATTTGCTTGCCGGTATTGCGCAAATATCTCACAATCAGACTTTGACGTGTGAGTTTAATGGACGCTCTCCGCTTGTAAGGATGTAAGCTCCTGAATCGAAGACATACGTGTGATTCCTTTGTATGATAAATTATATCCTTGATCTTCCTTGATATTCTAGTCATGAGAATCTGTGAGGGTTTTCTTGGTATGATACTAATGTTTAGCCCCCTGTGCATCGGGATCTGGCTATTTGACTTCACGTCAACCGAGTCTCAATTTGTTGGCGAAAGGCGTCTATAGTGGTAACGAGATTCTACAAGTAGCATGATGTCGTATACTCATTATACCTTTTTGACTATTAACTCACATGACTCATGGTCACCAGTAGGGTGTTTATCTCTCGATTTTAGCGAAACACATTCACTCTCAACACCAATGGGTGCTAAATTTATCGATGGTAGCATGGTGTTTATAATCGCTTGACACCAGTGGGGTGTTCCCATTTTCTTAGCATGACAATCTCATGGCTTAACTTGAAAAGTAAATTGGTTTTTGATGGCTTTCATTTTTGAGAAAATATATATGTTTTAAAAAAAGAATCCGAAGTGGCATTCGTTATTTTGATAATGAATTGATGCAAACTCTTAAATTAAGATTGATACTATTCACCATAATGCTCCAGAGAGGTCGAAAATTGAAAGATCTTTTATTCACGATGATGGGAGCAAAAGCGATACAACTTTTAACAAGGTAAACTGTCTCGATTAGTTGATGATAATCAACATCATCCATGCATTGAGCTTTGCTTCGTGGCTTGCCTAATGATTTTCTTGATTGGGCTGCAAGTTGTGGTTGCTCTCCAGCAGCGAGTCGTGGTTTTCTTCAAAATTTTGACGAAGCCTTATGGAAAATGCTCACATGTCCTTTCATTTCTTCAAGTGTCGCTAACCTTCTTTTGATGAAGTATAATTCCCTCTATAATGACTCCGAAATGAGCATAACATTGGATCCTGCCGATGTTTAAGGATTTGAATTTTCCTTGAGGAAGAGCAATTTTGAGGAAACCTGGACTGTCTCAATATTGTCAAATTATTTCCTTTTTTTTAATGATGGTGTATGTGTGATGCTTATGAAAAATGTTAATGATGTATGAATGTTAATTCATTTTTCATCTCATGTATCCATTTTTAATCTTCTCATGATAAGTTGTGAATGAGTGAGTGAAAATCTTATGAGAGAATGATGACTTTGAAAACGGGTTTCATTCATACAAT